ACAAACACAAACAATCCCACAGCACACAATAATCAGGTTCGGAGAAGGACCTCTACGCCCTTCCCCCCAGTCATACAATCTCCAATCCTACAACTTTATCTTAGAAATTTTAAGTCTCTAAAAAACATAAAAAATTAAAAAACTAAACCGATTAAAAGTTAGAGTATCGTACCAGGAATACAATGATGCAAAAAAACTTTCAAATGGTTGCTCCAATAACTCGCAATGGCCAAAACACTGAGCTCTTAGAGAGAGAGAGAGAGGGGGGAGCGAGAGAGAGAGAGGGTTCTGATGGGGGAGGGGAAGAGGAGACACGGTTTTAATGGGTTTCAGTCATTACAGACGGGAAAATCCGTCTGTAATAAGTTTAATGAAACGGTGCGTTTCAGGAGGCACATTACAGACGGATTTTTCCGTCTGTAAATGCATCAATCCCATTTACAGACGGAAAAATCCGTCTGTAATGTGCCACCTGAAAGGTCGGCTAAAACCACCAGATTTACAGACGGGAAAATCCGTCTGTAATTTCCCGCTATAATATTTCGTCCTATTTTCAAATTACAGATGAAAAAATCCGTCTGTAATTACTGTCTATAACGTTTGGCGCCAAAAGGCGGGCAAAATACAGACAAATTTTACAGACGGGGAAAAATCTGTCTGTATTATAGACGGATTTACAGACGGATTTTTCAAAAAAAAAAAAATTATTTCACAAATTCGTCTGTAAAGCCGTCTGTAATACAGACGGATTTTTTCCTGTCTGTAAAATCCGTCTATATTAAGCGCTTTTCTAGTAGTGTCTCTGCTTCTTTTTCCTTTATTACTTTTCTTTTTCTTTGCATACTTTTCATTTTTTTAATTCATATAATTTCATAACATGTTATAATCACAATCAAATTCTCTACAATCTGTGAAATCTTACGTGTTTCTTCTCAAGTTTAAGTCTACCATCTAACTGCATGATGAGTTTGATTGAAATAGGAGTTTCATAAAGGAGTAACTTATTCTATTCATTTTCTATCAACGTTTTTAATTTCTCTTCCTCATATTACATTCTTCATGATATTTCTAGCACGAATATCCATTTCATTGATTAAAAGATATTGACTAATATATTTGTTTTATATTAACATTTTTAATTTTAATAAAATTCTTGATAGAATTATATTTTTAGCATTTCTGAAAAAAAACTACACAATTAATAATTTTTCTGGCTATCTTTTATATGAATAATTAGGCCATAGTTTCTAAGACTAAATATATGGAGCATGATAAAAAAAATTCAATTGAGAAAGATATATTTAGTCTCTGGAGTACTAAACTTTTGGAATTCATGCATTGATTTTCTAAATTCAATTGTATAGTAGCATGAAGGCACTTATTATTATTATTATTATTCACCATACCATATATATCTTAAATACGATTCTTTCCAATTAATAAAAAATATATCTTAAATATGACGGTGATATCATTGCTTGTCACATCACTTCCTTTTAAATATGAGGATTATTATATATTTTTTTTATTATTGTGCAAGAAATATCAAAATAGGGTTCCTTATCCCACAAAAATGACATCTACAATTGTTTTTCTGGAGCTTTATTGAGCGAAAATTACAATATTAAATTTATAATATATATATATATATATATATATAATATTTATTTAATAAATTTTTAAATAATGATTTATATCATAAAGTTAACTTTATAATAAGTTAAAAAGAATTTATGGTACATTTGAAAACATACCTTGAGTAAGTCATTATTTGATTACCTCTGCATGAGAATTTATTCCATGTATTTGACTATAATACTTCTTGGAATAAGCTAAACGACTTTATTTTAATAAAATATACTGAATAATTTATTGAAAAAAGTTAAAAATAATTAAGCTCTTTTATACAAGTCAAACTATTTTTATAAAATACTCCAAACAATAAAGTATATATGACATGAATACTATTTATATTTATCGTCAAATAACAATTATTGATTTTTCACAAATTAGCTGCGTAATTATTAATTTATTAGCAATGGCATTTGCATCGGAATAATGAGTAAGTTGCACTGCATTCGCTTTGATCATAGTTATAGCACTCAGCTTCAACCAACCTGTTCAAGTAATAAAGGGATCCGGATTCTCTTTTTTGCGCTATCTCCGTCTTGGATTACAAATTTAATTAACAGTTTAAGCGAATTTCAAAAAAAAAAATTGTTTAAACAAAAACAATTATTTAAACTAAAATAGTAAAAGAATTTAAATTTTTCTTTTTTTTTCCCTAAATTATGGATAATTGAAAAAAATTTATATAGTTAACTTTATTATTAAACATGTACAAATGACTTTAAATTTTAAAAAATCTCTTTAAAAAATGAAAAGTAACAAAAGTCATAATGTTTACTCTACAAATTAGACATTTTTCAATATTTATAGTTCTATTATATCTTCCGAAGAAAAAACTTATAAGGAGGAATTAATATACAACAAAACTTATCATGTAATATTGTAACTATTTTTAATTAATTTCTTAGAGTTATTATTTCTATAATATTTATTTGATAATTTAATTCAATTTTAAGTAGTTATACTTTATTAATGCTGAGCATGAGTGACTTATTAAATAATATATTTAAAATATTTAGTGGGATAATACATGTAAGAGTCTTCAATAACCAGGTAGTTATTGATAAAAAAATAATGGTTCTTCATATTCAAATTTTCTGTAATTTAAAGAGAAAAATATGAAATTTTGAATATTTTTATAATTTTAATTTAAACGAATTTTTTTTTATCTTAAGCAAAAATTATATTTTACCAAATTCGTTTAAATAATTTATTTTAATTTAGTAAAAATTACTTTTTCATTAAACTTGCTTAAGCAAAAAATTTTTGCTCAAACAAAATTAAAATGCTACAATTTATAACAAAATTGCAAAAGAGCAGCCTTGAAAATCTGAAAGGCTGAGTACCTTGGACGCTTGATCGTACTCATAATCGTATTAAGTTTTCAAGGTGAATAACCTCTAGTCAATAAAATAATGTAGGTAAGGAAAGTTAGCAAAATAGATGTGTAACCTCAAGAAAAGGATAGGCTCTGAAAGCGGTGCACGGGAGTCCCAATTTTGAACCTATCAGCGATCGATATAAATTTAAGGTGATCAGATAATCAATTTAAATAAATTATTAAACCAGCAATCTCAATTAACTAATGAGCTTAATATAATTTTGTAAAATATTAGTACAAAATATTGTGTATGAATATGAGTATTGAAATCTTAATACTTTTTTTATTATTATCAAACACCATAAGATATGTTTAGATGCATATATAATTATCCAATTTTATCATTGATTAGCTGGTTCAATGAACTGATCCAAAAATGATTGTGTGAGGTTAATAACATGATTATTTTTATGAATGATAATAACATTGCTTTGATCTTTTAATATGTGAGGGACGATTAATTGTGGATTTGCAGCAGATAAAAATGAGTGATGGATTAACAATGAAAATACTAAACCTATTTGACAAATTTACAATGAAAATACAAATATGTGTATAGGAACTTATGGGACTAAATTATAAATTTAAGTGAAGTATAAGAACAAAAACTTATTTAAACCTACAATTTATTTTCCCTTGAACCTTGGAGTCATACTGTAAAATTAAGCAACATGATATTTTTTGGCCCTCAAAATCCTTTCTATTTTATTCTTCTTTTGTTTGAGGTTATGAATTGATTAATTGAATTGGATTATGGTTGTTGGACAGCCTGTGACATGGTGGGTTAGATCTTCGGCCTTTAGTTCCTTTGGTCATTTCCTTCTTATCATATTTTTTTAATAAAATATTAAGAGGTAAGGTGTAAATGTCAATAATATAACTTAAATAAAAATAAATGTGAAAGATTGAAATTAAAAATAGTGCTAAGTAAACCATGATTTTGTTTTGTTATGTGTGATTTTTTTTTATGTGACATTCTTGTTACTATTTAACTATTAATTTTACTGCTAATTCATGTTTACTTTTTCTTGTTTAAAATAAAGATAAAAAATAAAGTGAAAGTCACCGTAAGTTAACAAAGTGTGATTCATAAACAAGTAGCAAAATAACTTGTTATAATAGGTTTTAAAAATTTAAATATTTAAATTTTAATCTTTAATATATTTTGTCTCAATTTTTTAGATATTTAAAATAGATTATTCTTTAACATAAATTTTTTTAAAGTTAAGAAAAAGCATAATTGTTTATTCATGTGAAATCATATTACATTTTTTTTAAATTTATTCTCATATTTATTTTTAAAAAAATTTAAAATTTTGTTGTGTTTTTAATGTAAAATTCAACTATAAATTTAATGGTTGTGGTTGAAATTTACTTGATAAAAGTTTAAAAAGAGAAATATAAGATAAGAAATCTAATGAAGTTATTTAATCTTCTTTTGAGATATTGTTGTAGAAGTTTTGTTTATTTTCTCTTTCTTTTTTTTAATTCTTTTTTATTTATCTTTTTCAATAGTATGCAAACTCATTTTTCACATCTACTCTAAACTCTGAACCTACCTAATCATTTTTTCTTTGAATTATTATACTTTCAAATGTAAGAATTTTCTATGTGAAAACATCATATACTTATCTCATTTATCTTAAAAATTATCATTTTGGTTTGATTAAAACAGGGGTAATAATGAAAGATATTTTGTTGAATTAAAGAAAAATGCAAAAAAATCACTTTGCTATAATTTTCACTTAAGTCGCTTAAGCTAAATTTAGACAAAAATAAATCTAATTTTTTTGTTAAAATTAGCTTGTCACAACCCATGCGCTCAAACGAATCAAAAACATATATGAATCTAACACATATTCGCTTAAACTAATGTTCATAGCTTAAACCGTTGTTGTGTTATATTTCATGGCTTAAGCGGCACACAATCCGCTTAAGCAAATTATTTCATGTAAGTTTTTTTTTTTTTTTTTAATTTTTGCTTAAGCAAATGTTGTAGTATTTGTACAGTACAAAAATGACCATTGTATATAGAGAATATACAAAAGATCTAAAAAAGTGTTCAATAATATATTAATACAAAACTTCATTTTCACGATAATTTGAAACGATAAGAATAGATATAATAGTTTTAATTATAAAAATCGTTAAATTCATAAATAGAATTTGTGAATAACTCTATAAATTTAACATAACATTCAACGTTCTATTAATTTAAAAGTTATTTTTTATCATTATGTATTTAAACTATATTTGAATGCGTATTTAAATGTATATTTTCTTAAAATAAAATTTGACAATCTAAGATATACAAAAATAAAAAGAAAAAATCACATCGTATAAATTTTTTAAGACAAAAAATAATAATAAATTTTAAAATTATAAAATAAAAAAATTTTAAAATTTAAAAAAGTTTTAAAAAATTTTAATAAAAAATTAAACTATAAATATATAAACTTGAGGAATCACAAATTAGGCATGTGATTTTGTAACGACAATGGATACAGCTCCTCGTCAACACCATGAACATCAATCATATAAAAAATATAAAAAATATGAGTATCAGAAATTTTGAGGCGATAGAATTTTAAAATAATAATAAAAAAATAAGTATCGGTTAATTTGTGACGATAATATTAAAATTGATTAAAAAAATGTGAGTATCTAACGATAGACGACGATAATGTATTAAAATAATAATAAAAATGTATTATCGTTTCATTTTGTCCGATACTCATGCGATTTTAACAAGTGTCAATTTTTGGTATAATATCGGTAATATTGAAACGATACTCTATTAAAATAATAATAAAAATTTATTATCATTTATGCATGTGCGATACTGCAGCTGAGTTGACAAAAAAAGTACCAAACAGAAAATTAGTTTTAAAATATATCTATTTTAAGAAATTATTTTTAAAAAAGTATTATTTAAATAAAAAAACCCAAAATTTAACCTATTCATAAATTTTAAAATATATCTAATAATTTAAAAATCTCACCCGCTTATTTATTTTGTTAACTCAAGTAAAGAAAAATAAATCTAAATACATAATACAATTAACTAGTAATTACATCTGCTCTTAACGCGTCTACCCGCAGTCAGAAAATGGCACCCCGTAGCGACAGGGATGACCAAAACGACGCCGCTTCTTCCCCGCCGCTGACGGATGAAAAACCAACCACCGCTAAGAGACAGCAACTCACCACCTCTACAGAAACCGACCAACAAACCCTCACATCACCTTCTTCACCACCTTCCTCCTCAATCCCACGCATGCCTCCCGTCAACTCACTTCACGCGCCGCCGGTTCCCACCCTTCCCTTCGAACTCATCATCGAAATCCTCCGGTGGATCCCTGTGAAGTTTATCATGCAACTTCGCTGCGTATGCAAGTCCTGGAAATCCCTAATTTCGGATCCCGAATTCGCCAAAAAGCACCTTCGCGAGTCACCGACGGTAACGAACCTCGTCCTAAGCTTCGTTGCTAAGCGCTCACGCGAGTTCAGTCTTCAGGCTTGCCCTCTTCCTTCAGTGTTTGACGACGTCACCGTTAACGCCACGCAGCTAAGGTACCCTTTGGAAACTCGAAGGCGATTCGATTTGATCGTTGCGTCTTGTGACGGCGTTATCTGTTTTGCCACTGATCAAAGTTATGCTCTTTTATGGAACCCTTCTATTGGGAAATTCAAGAAATTGCCGTCTCTGGAGAATCAAAGGCGTGAGGGTAGTTATACGATTTATGGGTTTGGTTATGATCGTTTCACTGATAGTTACAAGGTGGTTGCCATTTTTTGCTATGAATGTGATAGTGGTGGTGCTTTTTACGAAACTCAAGTTAAGGTTCTCACTTTGGGTACCGATGCTTGGAGGAGGATTCAAGAGTTTCCTCCTGGGGTTCCTTTCGATGAGTCAGGGAAATTTGTGAGTGGCACTATTAATTGGTTGGCATCTACTAATTCAAGTTCTTTGTGGGTTATTGTTTCTCTTGATTTGGGGAAGGAGACATATCAAGAGCTTTTGCAGCCTGATTATGGAGGAGTAGCTGTGGTTACCTTGACTTTGGGAGTGTTGAGGGATTGCTTGTGCATCCTTTCTCATTGTGACACGTTTTCGGATGTTTGGCTTATGAAGGAGTATGGAAATAAAGACTCTTGGAATAAATTGTTCAGTGTTCCTTACATGGGAAATCCTGACTTTTTTCCATACACTAAGGCACTTTGGATTTCTAACGATGACAAAGTACTATTGGAGTTCCAGTCAAAGTTAGTTGTTTATGATTCAAGAAATGGCACTTTTAAGTTCCCCGAGATTCAAAATGTCAATGGCTGGATGATCCCTGAGGTCTACGTTGAGAGTTTGATATCACCTTGTTCTTAATATTAGGATGTAAAGGCTATGCTATGTTACTGGTGCATGAGGTTGTTGTTGAATTCACCAACTGTACGTTGTATGCTATGCTATGTTTTCATTTATTGTTGAATTCACTATCTCGCACAATACATAATGAACTACCCAAAGCGAAATTTACCATGCATGTGGCTGTTAATGAAGTTTGTAGTTTTATTTTTTATACAAGTTCATAATATCTCGTAAGCGTTTATTTTGTTGGCTTTTGGAACATTAAAATAGGTAGATGTTTTCAATTTGTTGTATGGACAGTGAATTGCTTCTTTTACTTCGGGAACATGTCTTCCACAAGAATTTAAACTATTTGGTTATTGGCATTGATTACTGCATTACTGACACTTAGAGAAGAATAAATGTACTGATTGAATTGAATCACTATCACATCATATTCGCTTTGTTCCATTCTAGAATTGGTTTCAGTCCTGATTATTATTTCCTAATTTTTGCCTGTAGAAGACCAAAAAGTGGGTGGATGTAGTCCACAGTAGACAGATTCATTAATCCATACACAACTCCCAATAAGGCATAAAGCTATAAAAGTGTGACTAATTCAATTATATGATCATCTTCTTTTGACTTTTGAGAAGGAAGAAGAATTGAAGAAATGCAAAGGCTAACTATATTACGGCATATTTCCATTTATTTGAACTAGATAATAATTGCATTGCAGAACATAAAGAAAGATCTGCTGCGTGGAGATTTAGATGTGCAAGAATTTCCACAGAGCCCAAATGTTAAGATTAAATATTTGCTTATTATGATATTTCTAGATCTATTACAATCCTGTCAGAAATGATTCACGGGGAATGTTATCAACTGGTTTTTGTTTTAAAAATAATATTAATTGGAAAATTGAGGTTTGATAGCAGTTACCATAGTTTACTAAGCTCAGAATGATACTGGATCCTGGTGTTCAGAATTCCTTTCTTTACTTTGTCTTTGGTTACATCATCATTATGTTCGTAGATCTCAGTTTGTTTGGTAAAGCTTTTCTGATCGGCATTGGGATTTAACGTCTTTGGACTTTCAAAGCTAAATAAACTCAGAACCCTCACCTTAGAGAAACTCCTCAGCATGTTCCGTGGCACAATCAAACAGACCCCAAGGCCTGTGAGACTTTGGACTAGCAGCATAGACTGCTGTGCATAGGTACTGTCTCTTTATTTTTTTCTTTTCCTTTCTTCTCTGCCCCATGCTTTTTGTGGCTGCAATTGCTAGAAGCTGCTGTGGCTGGCAGATGGCTCGCCAAGAGGATATCAATCCTGCAACCCATGTTCAGAAGAAGAAACTTTAGTCTGTTTTTACTTTTAGTTTCTTGACCAAGAAGTAGCAGGACTGTTAAATTTGTAGGTTCTTAAATAAGTTATGGCTCTACTAAGCGTTTAAAGCCAGTCTGAAAGTATTGTTGTTGTTTAAGAGTTTATTATTTTTTGTTTGTGTTTTATAGTGAATACATATGGTTTTGGAGATTTGGGAATGACTGAGACTGTTAAATGTTAAGTAGGGTTAGTTAATATTTTCATATCGGTTTTTATTTGTATATCACTGTTATCTTTGGCGGTATTAAATTCTTAATTTAATGTGTACATGTTGCCCTGTCCATCACAACTGGCGACAGCTCCATGAGCTCTTGTTGCAACAATGTGCAATAAATTCATAATGCAAAGTTTTCGGACGGAAATTTGGAAAACTGATATTATTGTTAAGCAGATTGCTGGACCCGTTGTATTGATAGAACATAAAAATAGAAAATGAAGCTAGCACCTTTTTGTTAACCGACTCCTGTGAAACTAATTAGTGTCATCATGTGTATGGAGTTCTCTTGGTAGATTTATGATATACTGGATGTCATTGTTTCCAAAGGGATATGCATAGTAGTTTAGCTTCATCTTGATTGCTTGCTATAATATGTACCTCTCTATTATGGCTTTAGTTAAGCAGGAGTTTGAATAACGGCACTCAAATTTTTATTCAGTTGTGGCTTTTTATGATTAACAAAGTATACACATCCCATTACAAAATTTTCAGTATTTCTCAAAACAGTTTTTTTTATACAATGGAATATTCCCATTAGCACCACCATTCACAGAAACACTTGTAATTAAGGGATAGTTTTGTAAGCCATTGTATGATATGGTTATGCTTTCTAACAAGTCATGATCACTTCAAATAACAAAGTTTATGTCACGTCATTTTAAAAGGTATAAAAAAATGGAACCACTGCATGATATGCATTACAATAATGGACCGATATTATTGTCAGTTGGGACAAATAAAAAAGCTAGAGAGTAGCAAATTGTGTTCAGCACAAAATTATTATTTAGTAAATAGGGAAGATTGGAAAAGGTGCACTACATAAGCACATGTCCATATCATGATAGAAGGAGCTACTAGAATGGATTTTCTCATTTTGGCCTTGTCGTTTCCTCAATATACTTTTGAGTGACTCACAAAGTTTATAAGTTGTGGTCATCTTATCCAAAGAGGGAAAGAGAGGCAAATGAATAATAATTAGAAAAAGAAAATGAAACATAAAGAATGTGGTGGTGGCACGACTGTGTGGGTCTTAATGATAAGAATGTTAACGCTAATCTTCATCACAGACATCTTGTGGATGAGGCTGAAAGTGCAGTGGCACACAAAGAAGAGATAGGCTTGCTTACAGCCGCCAAAGAAAAATTGCACATAAAAACTATAGCGAAATAATAATAAAGCTTAAATATATTTTTATTATAATATAAGAACTAAAATAAAAAATTTATTAAAATGTAAAAAGTAAAAAATATTGAGTAATAATAATAATAGAGGTGATGGGATGAAGTATGGTGGAATTTCTCACTAGTGAAATGGTGTAGTCTTAAGTCATGGAAATCCTTTTACTTCTGTGATTGCTTTCATTGTTGCGAAGCACTTCGACACGTTATCAAAGTGCACCAGGTTAAATGTAACCATGAAATAAAAAGGTATATTATTTACAGTTTTTATTAAAACATTATAATATTACTTTTTATACCTTCTTTATCACATTAGTTATCTTATTTTATATTTTCTTTCTTTTTTCTTTCTATCTATTGTTTATTTTACAAATATAATGTTCAAATACAATGTTTCTAAAATAAAGGTATGACAAATTTAGACAAAGTATATTGTGAAGTTGAAAGCAACTATTATACAATTTCGTATCTACATCTGAGTGAGAGAAAAGATGGAGACAATTAAATACCTTAAAATTTGCAAGTGTTTGATAGGTTTTATATTATTATATTGAAGGAGAAATCTATGAAGTTTTAACAGCATGGTATATAATCAATTTACAAATCTAAAATGATTAAAGTTTTTTTTTTTCAATAAATGAATTAAAGTTTAATCACACAAAATCTCTTCTAACTCATACTTCTACTGTTACTGCAACAAATTACCAAATATTTTCATTGATTAATTAAGCATACAAACTTTGATTACAAGCTAGAAGTCATTTAAGTTTCCGCAGCCATAAAATAATGATAAAGAAAAGCTGCACATATATATAATACGAAACGGGTTATAATAAATTTTTATAAAGAATTTTTTCTAGTAATATAATTAATTATTAATTAAAACTTGTATAAAGTTTAGCAAAAACCAAGACACGTTACTTTAATTTTTTCCAAAAAAGAAAATCATTAGTTTGGAAGCATATTAAATTCTGAAAATTGATCATTTGAGGTAAAGTTCTTATCTAGTTAGACATGTACAAAAATATAAATATAAAATACTAGACAAAGAAAATCCTATTAAAATTATGTTCAAAGCCCTCTTAATGGGTAATATATGTATATGACAGAATTTATTGTAATATTGTGAAATGATGATGAATTCCCTTAGATTCCTTTATTTGGTTTTGCTCCTCTTCTTTATCTTGAGCACACGCTAGTGTCCTTCCAAAACTGCAACGTGTCATTGTGTAATGAATCGAACACCACAGTTTACGAGTTACTTTATTACTGTCGCGCAATCATAATAATCAATTCTTCATCATCAACCCCCACATGAACCTCCCACCCCCATACACTCTCTCTGTCTCAGATACAACACAAACACAAACACAAACAAACACAAACACAAACATCACCGATCACCACAACAACCTCGCAACCTTGTCCCTGACATGTCATCACAGGGTTACCACAACCGCGTAGGGTTCACAAGGAAGAGAGAGCGACTCATCCACCCCGTGAACCAAACTTCCCCACTTTCACCTTCTTCGGTTCAGAATCAGAATCAAGGCATGCCCATGTCAGAGTCACTTTCACTACCCTTTTTTCTACCTGATGAGCTCGTTGTTGAGATTCTCTCGAGGCTTCCAGTGAAGTCTTTGTTGAAGTTCAGGTGCGTATGCAGGTCATGGAAGTTCCTTATTTCTGATCCTTACTTCATCAAAAAGCACCTTCACTTGTCAACTCGAAGCACCCACTTCACTCACCACAGGATCATATTGAGTGCCACAACCGCTGAATTTCATCTCAAATCTTGCTCTGTGAGTTCCTTGTTCAACAACCCTTCAACCGTTTGTGAGGACCTTAACTACCCTGTGAAGAACAAGTTTCGCCACGATGGTATTGTTGGCTCTTGTAATGGGTTGCTATGTTTTGCCATAAAAGGTGATTGTGTTCTTCTATGGAACCCATCTATGAGGGTCTCCAAGAAGTCACCACCTTTGGGTAATAATTGGAGACCGGGGTGTTTCACTGATTTTGGCCTTGGTTTTGATCATGTCACTGAGGATTACAAGGTGGTGGCTGTGTTTTGTGATCCTAATCAGTTCTTCAGTGAGTGTAAAGTGAAGGTGTATAGCATGGCCTCCAATTCTTGGAGAAAGATTCAGGATTTCCCCCATGGTTTCTCACCCTACCAAAATTCTGGCAAATTTGTGAGTGGTACTCTCAATTGGGCTGCTAATCATTCTGTTGGTTCAAGTTCTTTGTGGGTTATTGTTTCCTTGGATCTGCATGAGGAAACATATAGGGAAGTTCTGCCACCTGAGTATGAAAAGGAAGATTGTTCCACCCCTACTTTGTGTGTCTTAAGGGGTTGCTTATGCATGAATTATGATTACAAGAAGACCCATTTTGTTGTGTGGATGATGAAGGATTATGGGGTGAGAGAGTCTTGGGTTAAGTTGGTCACCATTCCTTATTTGCCTAATCCTGAAGATTTTTCTTATTCAGGGCCTTATTACATTTCAGAGAATGGTGAAGTAGTTTTGATGTTTGAGTTTGACTTGATTCTGTATGACCCAAGAGATAACTCGTTTAAGTATCCTAGGATTGAGAGTGGGAAGGGTTGGTTTGACGCAGAGGTCTACGTTGAAACTCTGGTTTCACCAATGAAGCATTAAGGTTGATGTGCTGCACAAGGAAGCATTAAGTAAGGAAAAATAAAATGGTGTGAAGTATTTTCAAGTCCATGTGATTTTATCTCTGGCCCATGTATTTTGACATTAGATGTGTAATATGTATATGCAGAAGTGAGAAGCCAAGCAATGTATAGATGTTGTTAATATTTGATGAAGCTCAGTTATGTGTTGTTGTCTTTGGGTTATGATGATGTATCCATCAATACCGCTTCATCTACTTGTTAGTAGTATATGGGAAATGGGAAGATTTAATGTGGAAAGAAGTATATGCTTTCTTGTATTATGGTGAAAAGCATATATTTAATGACTCATCTTAAATTCCCTCGCATCCCTTAAAGTAGAATCAGGACTTTTTCTCAAGTTTAAAAAAAGACAAGTAACGGACTTCTTTTGAGAAAAAGGACATAATTCTGTTAGTGAAGGATAAAAAAGGAAAACTTTAATTCCTCATTTATACGGTTGTATACCAAACCCTATACCGTTCGTTGCCTATATAGCAAAAGCACAATACTATGCTTGACCTTGGGCAAAAAGTATAGAATGGAATAAAGCTAAAAGGCACAAGAACCGGGTTCCTTAGCACAACACTGGAACCACATTTGTGACCTGCAGCCTACAAGCCAATGTTTTGAGGTTTAACATTATTGGGTGGACCTGGTCCATATTTTTTTCAAACATGTCCTATTTTTGGATTAAATTGTGGTTGTAGTAGTGTATACAAATAGTACTACACATCCAATGACTTTCCCAATTGAATGCTACATGTGAAGAGAAGAGGTATAGGCTCAAGCTCAGTAACTGTTGAACAAAAACTCACGGAAAATGTTGGGTGTTTACAGCCAGAGGAAGATAGGAATAGAAGATAGAGAAGTGATAGATGTGATCAATGATGTAATAAGACAAAAAAAGAAGAGAGAAACATGAATGGTAATAAATAAATGTTGATGCTATTAAAATATTTATAAATTAAAGTTGAATTAACACGGATCAGAGATCCAAACTCTCATTTTGAACACTTGGTTGAAGTTTCTTATTGGAAAGCATCCTTTTCATACTCTTACCACCACCTTGAATCCTTGATCAGCTTGAACCTGCAACCTTATAACTACATTTGTTCATGTCTTTGGAATAAACTTCCAATGTACGAGCGACTTTATCTTTTAGCAGGTAAGAAAGAAGTGAATGTCCAATTGATGAATGGACACACTTGAGAGAGTGGATGCTAGTGACTCATCACTCATCTTTAGTTCTTTACAGTTCCAGAGAAAAATGAGGACTTTAAAAAAGTTATAGCACTGGATTAAAAAACAAGTTAGAGAAGAAAACTAATTAAATATATTAATTATTTTGAAGACAACTTTGTTAACTCCTATGAAACAAAACCAAAAGCTACAAACTTTGCCCTCTAGCGGGGGGCACAGGAGGCCCAAATTTCCATTCCCAATGAGACATTTTTTATGACATCAAAATTAATTGAAACATTTGTCCCATTTGAAGAGTGGAACGCCAAAGTGGCTCATGGTTTTAAGTTTGATAAATCAAGAATTATGAGGTAGAGAGTGTCTACCAAAAGCCGGTAGATTAAACAAATCATCTCAGGGCATTTTGATGTGGGATTTGCTGCAGTGAAAACCTCTAACCTATCCATTCCACTTGGCTAAAGATACAGTTTACTCAAGAAGGAACCTGTAAGATAAATATTTAAGTTTTAACTGCAGATTCAAGTGGGCGTGTGGTCTGCTAAGTAGATAAATATGATTTTTAAGGATATATTAAGAGAGTTTATAGAAATAATTATAACTTTGTTTATTTTAACAAAGTTTTCAGTATAATTTATTATAATATTAATTTACATCTAATATCATAATATTAAATCTATTCAAAGTTCATATATATAGTAAATTTTTTACCATACTTTTAATCTGTGAAACATCTTAACTCACTTAAGACTAAAAATTTAGTGTGCAAAGAGGTGACTTAATATATATAGAGACTTTGATGTCATAGTAAAAAGTAAACCTCACTCCAAAAAAATTAACTAAAAAGAGAAGAATTATTCAAACATAAAAAGTATTATAATTATAAAATCAACACTTAATTAAATTATACTTTGGATTGCACCATATATCATTCCATTGATTTGCCGCCACTGAAAGAAAACAGGGTGTGGGAAGAAAACAGCAGGAAGAAAAAGAATGGGGATGGGTAGCGAGGAATCTTCTTTTATATACATTATCCTATTGCCGCTTTATGTCAATGTCAATCTTGTTCTTAAGGACTCGAGACTCGGCATATCCATATCCTCTTGCACGATTCAATTGGTACGATGAGGATATAACAGCAGCTACCCTCCATTTCTTCTATTATCCACTAGAGAGTTTTTCTACGGAACGTAATGGAACCACCAACAGATGCTTCCAACTGTTTCGAAACCAGGTTCTCTCTAGTGTCGACACAAGTCTCGATTCAATGTTTTGCTTAACTATACTTTCTTTAATTCTTTTTAACATCATTAGATGCTTTCCTCATATGTTCTAATTAAGAAAAATTAAATTAAGACTGTTAAGTCTCTCAATTATTACTTGAATATCTTTTCGATAATTAAATAATAATAAATCTTTTAGCCTATACTACTCCCCGTATCTTTCACTTACAATAATTATGTCATAAAATTTTTCTTTTTAATATTTCATATAGTTGTATTCACTGAAACTTAAATATTTTTTATTAAAATTACAAATATTTTATTATATATAAATAAATTAAATAAAATATGACTTTGCTATCAAGATTTAAAGATAATATAAAATAAATTATTTTAATAAAATTACATTATTCTTACGTTTATTGATTTGATATGATGCCTGTAAAAATAAAATATTTCAATTTAAATTGGTTAAAATTATAATAATATGTAAAGTTTCAAAAATCAAAATTAAATTAACTAAATTTAAATAATTTTATTTGAGAAGAATAAGAACATAAACACAAAACAAAATCAAATACTTAATGTAAAATTAACACGACTTAATAAAAAGGAAAGTTTTATAAAAACAATCTTGTTTAAAAGTGAATACTAACCGGTTCGACTTAAAATCTGATAACCTGATACATCAAAAGAACTAGTGCACTCTCCAATTAAATAAAAAAAACATCATAGTTACCAATGTTGGAATAGGAAATTCCGGGGATAGTGTTTTCTGAGGACTGCTAGCTAATTAAATTTGGAAAAATATCCTCAAAGTGCGAGATACTTTGTTTCTAGTTCTAAAAACGAAAGCTTAGTTGATTACATGCGTGGCTGACAAATACAGGAACAACAGGGAAATTTGTTTTCCGGATCAAGGATGGGAAGTAATCACTTGAATTAACAATAGCAAACCCACTTACCAGTCTCCTATCCCAAATCCTCAACTGTACAATACAGCAACGATATTGATAGATGCGAATCTAGTGAAACCCACACGTTGCGAGTATTTTTTTGATTAAATTACATTAAATTCTATAATTTTTAATAAAAAAAACTACTATGTATAACTTCACTTCTTATCTTATCTTGTTTGATGTTTAAAAAAATAGTTTTTAATATAAGAAAAACTTCATTTAGACAGGGAAGTTGATTGCAAACTGCAAAGATGACATGACATCAGTCCTAAAACAGTTTGCCAGTCCCCACTATAAACCGCAGATGTTGCTCACTGGAAAACCACTCTGATCTTTATCACGATGAACCCCAACAAAAGAAATAATTAAATGTCAATTAAGACGAAACAGCGTCACTCCTTATCGTGAGCACAGGGTCTCAGTTTCTAGGCCCATTTGAAAACTGGTATCAACCACTCCATCTTTGGAGTAACCAATCTCCATTGAACAGGTCAATAATTAGTAGAACCACAATCTGATCCATGCATTGCTTAACTTAAAAAATAAAGAGGTACCTAAGATGGATGAAAAATGTTGGTATTTGATTATAGAGCTAAAGTGCCACCACAAAAATCAGTTCATGCTACAAAAATTAATCGTACAACTATGCACAACCCCACAGAGGATAGGAACGTTCACCTGTGCCAACATAGCTTTCTCCCACCCTCTCGCAAAATTTCATAGGCAAGTTTGTACTTTTCAATGGATGTTGCACCAGCATCTATGTATTTAGAAGCGGTTTCTCTCAGACTCCAAAGCATCAAATTTTTTAGTTCCTGAGAGCTACTCCATGATTCTATGTCAGGAAAAACACCATCCTCAGCATTTCTCGTCCATCGGTGTAGGATGTAGCGTGAAGGAACTTCTCTTAATTCCAATATCTGGAAAACCCTCAAGACATGTCTACAAAGAACACCTTCATATTCAAACATCTGACAGCTACAACTAGCGCTGAGATTGGGTGCATTAAATGTAACTACATGCTTCTCCATATCATTGCCACACCTACGCACCAAATATCTGCTCAGGCCCCCTTCCTCAAATATTTTGAACCCAAGATAGCTATAGCACTGCAATAGTTCTTTTTGAAATACTTTGAATATTGCGAGAGTGTAAAGCCTTCTACATTGTTCTTCCACAGGTTCTTTTGTTTGCAAAATGGGTTGAAAATTAGAAGTATTGAAATCCTCTTTTCTTTCCTCCTCACGGTGTCGCTCAAGACCTCTTTCATACCTAGGAATGAACTCCACGAGAGGTGTCTGGGCATTTAAAAGAGCACCAAAGAATGAATCCAGGCTTTCATTAATGGGAATGCCAGCGAAAAAAGTGCCCTTCAAATATAATGGAACCCAGGATGCACGCTTCTCATACATTTCTTTTAGCCAGGCATTGTCCTTCAATCCATATTTGTTGAGTAGGGCATTCCATGTGGTGTCAAATTCATCAAGGGTCTGACTCTGGTAAACACACTTTTCGTAATCTTCTGTAAATCCATGACCTATCAGACCCATGTTCTCTTGTTCCTTTACCTTGATTTGCCACAATGAAAAGCGATGATGGGTTACTGGAAAGACTTTCGCTATTGCCCTCTGGATTGCAATGTCTTGATCAGCTACAATTGTCAGAGGCTGCCGGCCTGACGTTGCCCTAAGCCATGTCCGAAACAACCAAGTGAAAGATTCTTCAGATTCATCAGCAATTAGAGCACAACCAAGAAGCACAGGTTGCTTATGATGGTTGACTCCAACAAAAGTAGCAAATGGTACCAAATAGACAGTTTTTCGGTATGACGTGTCTACCACTAGAACATCACCAAACTGACTACATGAATATCTAGATCGGCCATCAGCCCAAAATATGCTCATACAACTACCATTATCAACTTCCACAGCATAAAAGAATCCAGTATCTTCTGCTTGTTTTGATTGAAAATACTCTAAAAGCATGCTGTACCAATCACTTCTAATGTGATTTTGTCTACCACCTCTAGGAACAGGGTAGTTATCTATTCTAAATAAATCACCATTTACCAATCCAGTATCTACCTCATCAGTCAAAATATTAGAAGCAGGAAGACTTTTTGCCCTACCTTCCTTTCCAGAGTCCATATCATGGTTATGATCTTTCCGGAGGCGGTCCACCACCCACTTTCCTGATGGCTGTTTCTTAATCCTTAAATAAGCCCCACAACCTACTCTTGAAGGGTGCTGGAACCCCTCTTTGGAGCACACAAATCTGCGGGATGTGATCAATCCATCATTCTTAGAACGAAACAATTGACCAATTCGAACTCCAAAACCCAAATTCGCTGCATATGCATGATAAAATTGGTAGGCTTCATTAGGTGAATTGAACTCTTGACCCACATATGGTTCAACCCTGGACTGTCCTTGATGTTCTTCCTTTCTCAGACGCTTGAAATTAATAATGCCAAAGGGACAAGAGGGTTCATCAGTGGCTTCTTCAAGCAATTTCTTTCTTGGCCTGCGAGGAAATTCAGTAAGAGAATTGATAGCTGTAGCACCCTTCTGTTCCAATGTTGGAATGCAACTCTCACCATTGATTTCAAGATTGTGATTATGATCCTTATGAAAATGATCAATGACCCATTTTCCAGAACCATTTATTTGTACTCTTATGAATGCTGGACAGCCTGTTCTTGAACTGAGCTGATATCCCTCCTTTGAGCACACGAATCTTCGAGAAGAAACCGACCCATCAGTTCTTGATCGATAGAGCTGACCAATCCGAACTTTAAATCCCGTTCGATTTGCATAAGAAGTGTAAAGTTTAAGGGCATCATCTGCAGAATCAAATTCTAACCCTATGTACGGTTCACAAGAAAAATCTATTTCCTCCTCCCTATTAGCATTATTCATTGCCAGCTCAGTACCAACAGAATGCTCCTTGACAATCATGGTCCCAAGTGATTATCCATTAAAATCTAATTATCCATATGGAATATGGACAATGGAGAAAAATCCTACATAACTTCAGGCAAAACTGCAGTGTTTCAAACTCTTCCAAGCTCTTAGAAAGTGAAATATTCTTAAATTTTCTGTTCCGCCTGGCTCCCTCTTTCAATGCAAGAAGAAGCACGGTCCAGTTCCATATGCTAAGGCAAAGGCACCAAATCCTGCAATATCTGTGATACCCATGCTTGTATAAGATACAAACTTCAACACGTCTACTACCTTAATTTAATCATCCCTATGTTAATAATACTTGAAGCACGATTTTCACATTTTCTCAGTGACCAAACGATTTGAAGAGAAAAACATCATATTCTAGAGGATAAATAACTACGGAATGATTAATTAATAAAAACGAAATTAAGGTGATTAGAGAATAAAGATGAAGAGCGATTACGGCAAACAATAATTTGTTTTGAATTTAAAGTATTGAGCGAAATCATAACATAAGAACGAAAGTCAACGCAGCAAGCAATAAATCAAGAGTTAGGGTTTCAGAAATGAAAACTACCTTGAAGCATTGATAAATTAATTGAGAGATATAGAAAACCCAGGATGAAGGAGACAAAGCAAACGGGAAAAGAACGTGAAAGCGAATTTAGAAGGATAAAATAGAGAAAACGGAGATTGAATTCCCGTTTCTTGTTCAGTTTGAGTTTGCATTGGCAATGGCAGTGTAGGATTGGCATATAAATAGAATCCGGATCCGGATCCGGATCCAAATCCGAATCCCATTACTTTTGGGGTATCTTCTGCAAGACCCGTGTCCGATACAGCCCACACATACTCCAATTCGTACCAGTGTCTAATTCCTCATTCAACAAACCAAAAATTTGTTAGGTAAATTCTACCTGCTCTGTAATAGGTAAATTTCATGTTTTTTTTAACAAAACAATTATAATTATTAATTTTATATTAATAAATAGTAGAGTTAATAATTTATTTAAAATAGAAATATCTTTTAACTTTTAAAATATTAAAAGGATTATAGTTCAAAAAATATACAATACTTCAAATTTAAGAAAATTGTAAAAAGTACCTTAAAAATAATAATTAAAAATTTAAAGTTTGTTTGTTTAAAATTTTATACTAAATTAAAAATTTTATAATTAATTACTTCACTTTAAACTCATTTTAATTAAAATTATTTTTTCTAACATCCAACTAAAAACACACACACACACACACACTATATATATATATATATATATATATATATATATATATATATATATATACTCAAAAATAAGCAAAAGTACCATCTAAAAATTACATATTGATCACATAAATAAACAATCATAAAAACAGAAAAAAAAAACTATTCAAAGAGTATATGAATGTCCTTTTCTTTTTTTCAAATAAAAGTATTAAGAGGAGTGTATATAGTAATTACATTTTTTTAATACATTTTTTAATGTATCATTTACAATTATTTAATTTTAAAAATATTAAAATAAATTATTTTTAAGAATTGTTTAATCATATACAGAAATATTATTAATATTTTCTATATTATAATAATATTCTAAAAAAATATAATAAAAATTAAAAATTGAAAAACATTAAAGTATTATATTTTGAATAAAAATATTATATATTAACATGCTAGTATTATATATCCTTTTGACAATTCAAATCGATATTATAGAGAGGTTACATTCCACCACCCAGACCGCGTATTGTTACAATTTTGGGAAAAAGTAAACGTGAAGTGGAAAAATCTGAATGCTTACGTCATTACTAAAAAGGATGAGCGGGTCCCACATTGTAATCGAACGTCTTTGACGGTGCCTGTGACCATTCCGAAACGAACGTCCTGTGAAAATAGCAAAGTCCCATTGAACTTTGGTCTTGGGCATCTACACGCTTAAGAGGCTTTGGATAGAAAAAACCAGAAGGAGAAGAAGAAGAAGATCGGTTGCATCAAGAGAAAAAGATGTTTGAACAGGAACAAAGTTACACGAGGGCGAAGAACGATGAATTCGATCTCGAATCAGGGGAAACCCTTTACCCAGGTCTAAGCCTCGGTGAGAACCAGCTCCGATGGGGCTTCATCCGCAAGGTTTACGGCATCCTCTCCGCGCAGATCGTCCTCACCACTCTCGTTTCCGTCGTCACCGTTTTCTATTCTCCCATCAACGATCTCCTCAAGGGAAATTCCACCCTCCTTCTCGTTCTCCTCTTCCTTCCCTTCCTCTGTACGCTTCTTCTTTCTCAATCTCCATTTTTATGCTAATGCGGTTGCGCTGTTTCTTTATAAATAAATAATTGTGTTTTTTTTACGGTTAAATTAAATGTCTTGCAGTTTTGATTCCTTTGCTCAAGTACCAGCAGAAGCATCCTCATAATTACATCTTGCTTGGGCTTTTCACCCTGTCTATTAGCTCCACCGTTGGTGTCACCTGTGCCAACACCGATGGTTTGTGCACCTGAATCTGATTTGATTTCTCGTATGTATATGTTTATAGTAAAATTGGAAATTGGTGGTTGATCTGACATGAATATTTGTTGCAGGGAAAATTGTTCTTGAGGCGTTGATTTTGACCTCCGCTGTGGTTTCATCTCTCACTGGCTATGCCTTCTGGGCTTCCAAGAAGGGCAAGGATTTTAGCTTCCTTGGTCCAATATTGTTCACCTCCCTCTTCACTCTATTCCTCACTGGCATGATGCAGGTTAGATAAATTATTTTTTTCTCTTATTTCATCCTAATTATGAAGTTAGTTTAAGGATAAAACTTGGGTGCAGTGCATTTGGTTCTGTATCCTAATCAAAATTAAGGTTTTACCTCAGCAATACACAGTAAACCTAAGAGTAGACCTTTTACCAAGTTGAAACTTTGATGTAAGTTTTGATTATTGAAAATCACCCGAAGCGCTTTAAGGACTGTAAGTTTTGTCCTTCTATTAATAAGAAAGTGGGCAAGGCAGGGCACCTAAATTATAGAAAATCTTCAATAAATTCCAAAATTTTGTCAAGAGGTTTAAATAAATTTGTATTGAATTGGCCTCATTTCTATTAGGATTGCGTTAAGAATAAACTCGATTAAAAGTTTTTAAATGGTTGTAACTCGGATGGGATTGTCTTCATGTGAAGGATATCTGCTATAGTTTAGACCAAAAAGTAGGGACCGGCGTATCATTTGAAAATTTTCATTTCGATCTTTGTACTTAACTGAACTCTAATAGAAATGTGATTAATTTAAAAAATAATTTAACAGTTTGGGGATTTAAATTATAAACTTTCTTAGTATAAAAATTTGCAAATATTTCAGGGTGTTAGATCAATTTAACCTAATTATGATAACTAGTCAGTCTAGATTTCAAAATTTTTAAGATGAGTGTTCTGTGTTGGATTCTTGCAAGTTGCAACTTTCATCTACCTTAATAAGATTTCTTGTCCTTTCATACAGATGTTCTTCCCTCTTGGGCCAACAGCCCATGCTATCTATGGTGCAATTGGTGCTATGATTTTCTCTGGTTATATTGTCTATGACACTGACAATCTGATCAAACGGTTCACTTATGATGAATACATCGGGGCCTCTGTCACTCTTTACCTCGACATTCTCAACCTCTTCCTTTCCATCTTGAGGGTGCTGAGGGAGGCAAACAATTAGTCATGCTTCGTGAATTCAAGTGGAGTTAAACCATTGAAACTACTCTGTTGAATCTTTATTTACCCTAGGAAGCATTGTGAAATGTACACTATTCTTCTCCAGTATTCCCTTACAGTTGAGAATTTGAGATACTTTGATGACATGGAAAATTTATACCTTTACAATTGTATGTAAGTGTGATACAAGAATCCCCCTTGCGAAATAATTCCTGCTCCCTCCCTTGAGGTGAGTTATCTTTCAATTTAATATTGTGTGTATTCAGCAGATAAATAGTCACCTGATATTTTATGATATTATCTACTGCGCTGCAAGATTGCGTATCCCAACTTACAACCTATGCTGTTAGCAGTGTTGAAATAAACATGAATTCGTAGTTATTCAAACATGAATCTAATTACATACATATTTGTGCAGTCAACTGATCAGTTTTTTTTGTGTATTGGAAGTTTGGCCATGTAACGAGTAAAGTTTTAGAGTATAATACAAGTTTTCGAGTTAATACCCATTGATTAGCAAGTTATAAAACTTAATGAACGATAAACATACTGTCAAGAGTAAATATACTAGCTAACAAGAAAAATGGAAGTAGGATTTATATAATTACAAAGCGTGTGCTGAAGGTTATTTTCCAAGTTACCGGTTGGAAATTTTTGTCACTATGAACCTTCAAATTTTATTCACTATATAATGCTTGCACCCACGCTTTGATTGGCTATGGCCGTCCAAAGATCCTAATAAGCCATATGGATATTGGGAGGTCAAATGCCCCATTGCCTCTTCTAGCTAGTCTTTTTGCTCCTTCTAGCTCCTTTTGTTTTACTGGGCAATGATTAACGCAGACTCTTAACATGTTTAGACGCACCAGTCCTGATATACGATTGTGTTAATCTTAAGGAGTAGAGCCGAAATGAGGTTGAGTCCGAGGTTTATCAGTTCCTAGCTTTTAAGGCAGTGTTTTTTCCCAAGTCACTGCATTCTTTCCTTTCTGACCAACAATTTATACAAAATATATACAGATTCCATTTGTATAGCATATGCCTGTGTAAGACCGTTTCGATTGTGTTGAAGAGGTAGAGTGCAGGTGTTGAAGGGATTGATCATATGTTTCTGTTAAACATGATGTTAGATTGCCTGCAGGCACATGTGCATTTCCTTATGTATCCGGGCCATAAAAGCGTAATTTCAACTTAACTGAAGTAACTTGTCCAAAATCCATACAATCGTACCTGATTACATTAGTTTGACCATTTTATTAGTTTGACCCTTTTATTGTTTGAACTACACATGAAATAACTAACATTAGCATAAGGTCTAACCACGCTTTATCACCGCAGAAATTTCCATTTCTTTGAAACTAGCGTATTGATCATCGGTGTTCTCATTTCATGCGCTCATATATCATCCGTTCTCCTCAAGGATAACCAACGACGTACAATACAACTGCTGACAAATAATTCCCCAACTTACAGATACAAGCGATTAAAGAGCGCGTACGAATATTTAGTCTCATTCAACAACCACGGACTAGTATCTCACTGTGGTACTAGTATACACACTCGAAGAAGCATATTCTGAGAGTTTATATTCTATATTAAATGAATGACTAGGTCAGTATATCATTTACTCCCATCGTTGATAATTTCTGTGCTGTTAAAACGTGCAGTTCAACTTGTTGTTATTGATGCTATAATTTAGGAGTTTTAGTTTTATTATTTAAATATTTAAAATTCTGTTTTTTAGTTCAAATTATTGTGTATTAAGTAGCAGCTATTTTTTAACTTTCTTTTGAGTTGTAGAGGCTATTAATGCCGTAACAGATTGTTAACAAAGACGGTCAATTAGCAAGTTATTTTATTTTTTACAATGTACTATAAAAGTCTTTTAAAGAATTTTGCTAGTTTTTAAGGTAAGATGTTTTACAAAATTTCAAGTGTGTATTATTTTTTCACATATTAATCTTGTATTATTGAACTTTATTGACCTCTTAATATTAAAATAATAATAGAATTTGATTTTCATTATGAGTAAACATGGAATGCTATAATTATTTTTTAAATTTATTAACTATTTCTAATACTTTTTTAGTGTGTGATTTAGTTGAAATATTCTTATAAAAATATTCCGTCAGTTATTTTTACAACATGAATCTTTCATTTGACAAAATCCTCCGCTAAATAACCCAAATCATTATTCAAGCTAAACCTTGCTGACCAATTCATACAAGTTTAAAATACAGTGGCATTTACGAGTTCCTAGGAGTTTGACCCAATATCTATTTGCAACCATCGTAACCAAAACCAATTTTTCCTCCAGCTACATCATACACTATCTCCAACGTTTTCTGCTGCGCGTTTCCAAAAAGCACATCGTCTCCACCTCCAGGAATCACTGTAAACGGCAAACAAACGACGGTGGAGTTGACTGGGAAAGCAATACCAACGTGTGGTATATCTAAAACAAGACCATCTTTAAACAAAAAACTCATTTTGGGAAATTTAAGTTTACGATGATCATCAACAAAATAACACGTGTCCAAAATTTCATAATCCTTAGGAGGTTTAACCAATCGATAATGGGGCATCGCTTTTCGGTATGCATCTCGCAAAGTAATATAATCCTTGGAAGGTAACGCGGAAATGGAGGAACCAGAATCAATGCTTGCAGCACCCTTCTTAAAAGCAATGGGAAGTTTGGTGCCACCAAGAATTATTCCAACAAGGGGAATGGCATAACCTGATCCCAGTTGTGTGTACATTAAAGAGTTCGAAACTGTCTTAGACTTACCAAATTTGAGAAAACCGATGTCACTTGTTTTTGTTGGGAGACAGTATGAAAAAACTCGGTGATATGTTTGGGTCGTTTGTTCCAGAAATGATACATAATCTTGGCCAAGCCCAATTATGCCATCAACGTCGACGAGGGTGTTATTAATGTTGGCCTCTATACACCCAAAGATGATGTCGTTGAAGGTGTCGTAACCTACACTAAGCCTTTCTTTGGCTAGAAATCCAGCCACTCCTGATCCGTCTACGTAAGCTGCCTCGTACAAGCACGTTGAGGAAATGCAAGTTGTAAACCCTGCATTGTTCAGTACAAGAATTAAACAATAGAGACTTGTTAGTATTTTTTTGGAATTTCACTGGTGTTAAAGCAGAAGCTGATCTTCTCAGTAGCAATTTTTTCAATTGCATGAATATTGCAATGAACTTAAGGCCACGTGTTTACTTAAATACATGAATTCCTTCAAGTGAACATATACATGTTGGTTGAGTTTCTTAATTTTGAAAAAGTTATTAAAATATTGCATTATTTTACTTTGCCTTTTTATTTTAAATATTTGTATCGGATGCAATAAAAACAACAAAGTCATGTTTTCATTATTTTTTGTACAAGTATTTAAAAATAAGAAATAAAATAAAAATAATATGATTTTTTTTCTAATTAATTTTTTTTTAAAAATGTCTTATGGAACCGAACAGAACCTAAATAAAGTAGGAAATGTTGAACTTATCACAATTGCAAACTTTCATCTAGAAAAACAACTATTGTAAACTTTGAGAGATATGAAATTGAGCTCATTTTTCATGCAGCTTAATTCAGATTTCATGTGGGAAAAAGAAAAGCGTAATGATTTTTTTCTTTTGTGCAAAACACTACAACTTAAATTATGGGTCTCAAGCAAAAATGGTTAAAAGTCATGTATAATTCAAGTCAAAGAGGTGACTCTGCCTTATATGTGCATAATGTATTGAAAAATGAACACATAGTTACCTAACGTAGTATTGGCCTGACTACAGGTGTGAGTGGGACATGTAATGTTGGCATAAGTGGAAGATTTTGATGGATCAAAGTATGGATGAATTTGCTTGTCACAACCTTGTCTTCCCAGCTTACACGGTTGACATTGAGTCCATAGGAGACTGCTACCGGTATCCATCATTAGTGTGAACACCCTTTTAGGGGTTCCCAAACCAACATTTACAACGTATTCTTGATTTATGCCACCATCCCACTTCACTCCAATTTGGTTCTTCCTATGTTGCTTCAAGTTCGGTCTTGTTTGGTCCCCTTCAAGGATCTTACGTACATTTGGAGCTTTTGCTTTGCCATGCTTGCTTTTAGAGCAGGGTCCGTATTTGTGAACCAATTCCAGATACTCCTCTGGGGTTGAGTCTGTAATCCAAACCAATCATAATTAAGCTTTCAAAAGTTACACTCGAAATTAAATAGTGAGAATATACGGGATTATAAATATTTAAAGGAAAACCATTTTATTGATAAATAAATGTGATCATTCAAGTCTTTGCTTTTAAAAACCATTTATTTTAATTATTTTTATATGTTGGCTTAATAGATGTTTGATCGATGTGTAGTATGAGATAAGAGAGCGAACCTGTGGTATTTCGGTTGCAAGTGGAGGCTGCGAGCAAAGAATTGAGTTCAACTATGTGGAAATGGTTGCTTTGTTTTGGTCTCTGAAAGGCAGAACTTTTGTGTAGAGAATTGAGAAGAAAAAGCAAAAAAAGAAAGCGAAGAAGAGAGAAAGTGAAGCTACCCATGTTTATGGTAATCTTCTCCCTTCTAAGTCCTGGTGCAAATTGTTCTGTTACCCGTATCTATATCTGTATATATACATACATGTGTATAAAAGTTAGGTTCTATCTGTATTTTATAATCATAAAATTAAATTTTAGTTATTATTTTGTCTATCTTTTTTATTTTTTTTCTCTTTAATGAAAAAAATATTATTCAATTATCATGTATAAATGTAATATATATTACAAAACATTATAATATTAAAAATAAAGTAACATTATATAACATTTATTTATGATATAATATATAAAGTTTTTCTTATAATAAAAACAAAATTTTAAATCAATAATTAAAATAATATTTTATTACAACCTATCTGAAAATTATAATTTATATTTTTATGATTTCATCTACCACCAATCAATTATTGTTTTATTTACCTAAAATAGGTAATATAAATTTATTATTAAAAATATTGAATAAATATAATTTATTATATACAAAATAAATTATATTTTTTAGCAAAATAGTAAATAAAGTTAATTTGATCAATCCACAATATAGCAATATAAATTTACAATAGGTAATATACATTAATTCTTCATAATATTGAATAAATATAACTTTTAAAATTATATATGTATATTAAAATAACATTTTGTCTAAACTTTTAGCTATAAGATTAATTCATAATTTTAATTACAATTTTATTTTCTTCAATAAATACATACATTTATTTACTTACACACACAAAAAAATTTATCAATTTGTCCAAGAAAAAACTAATTATCCTATGTGTTGAATTAAGTTATCAAAAAAATATTGTATGAAGCAGACACAAATTTTGAATAAAAGAACTAGAAAGTCTAACCCATCCCCAGTAGTAACCGATATTAACATTATATTGATATTCATATGAAACATTCAATGCCTACGTATTATATTAATGAATTAGGGATAAAAACGCGTTGGTTCATGACATCAACGAAACAAACAAAGCATAATTAGAACAAAAAAAGAGTAATTAAAGACTACCTCAAAATTCAGTGTGAATGTTAATTCCAAGTTTGAATAATTACTAACCTAAACTAAAGCATTAATTGCCACGGTTTATGTAAGGTTCCTGGCCACCAAACTAGAATAAGGATGTTCACCTCGTCTAATTTTGTTTTAGAGATTCAAAGATGATCGAAGAAACCTTCCTAACTCAACTTTGTGTGAATTTATATAAGCGACATAGTAATAATAGATTAACTAAAACTAAAGTCAAGGCTAACAAAACAAAAATTAATAGAAGTTATCTTGTTAAGTGAGTAAAGGAAATCACGAGAAATCCCCCCTTATTGATTCAGATAAAAATGCCAAATTAAATTAAATTAGAACTAAGTAATATTGATGACACTTACGGGATCAAGTTATGATTGAAGTTGTCTAAACTATACAATCACACACGTTTATTTATTTTAGGATTTTTTTCATTATCTCCAAATCTCTCCTGTTGGAATATTGGTTAATAACATTTGTGTTTTCTAATAGATTTTTGTAAAAATGTTTTATCTTGATGCTCTAAGTTTCGAAAAAGTGGGAGTTCTGCCTTAAAATAAAATTAGCACAACAGTGACTATTCAACTCGATTGATTCAACTCTATTCTTCAGTTTGGTTTTTTTTTTTTTTAATATTCTTATTTTAATATCACATTTTTTTTATTTTCTTTTCTTTTCCCTATCTCTCTTTCTCTCCTAAAATGGGGTGTGAACAAATATTTTCATTTTAAAAATCTGTATAAAAACATATAAATTTTCATTGAACAAGTCCCAGAAAACAAAATCCGTCCATTATGAAGTTCTCGTCACTCCATTCTCTGTTGAAGTTATTTCTCCCTTCATTTCGAATTATCTATTTTGACAATTTTGAATTATTTATAATATGTCATTTTAAAAATTAACAAAAAGTATTAATTCTTTTTTAAAAATACCACTATCTATTTATATTTTATCTAAATATTTAAATAATCAGTAGAAATTTGAAAGCTTGTCAAAAAGTAATAGAAGGAACTCATTGACACGGCCAAAATCAGCATAACTCCCTGACAACATTAGCCGAGGTTCTGACTTTCATAACAGTCATAATATGTAAAATTCATGAATATAGTTAACAAGATTTGTTGAAAAGACTTGGTTACAGATGTTGATGATAACTGTGAAGTGTTGACCTCTTTGATTTTGCTCTGGGGCGTTCGGTCCTCTATCATTTGATGCATTGCAAAATTGCGTTCAACATATATATTTGTACTTTCGTTCCTTCTAACTCCTTTATTCTTTTTATGATGGATGGAAATTCCAATATGTTTAAGCTGACTGCACGAGTTCTGATATATGGTTGTGTTAATTTTGGAGAGTAAGGTCGGAATCAAGTTGCATAGGAAGTTTGTGAGCTTCTTGCTTCTATGGCAATGATTTTTCCCGTGACACTATATTCTTCTCTTACTAACAATCTTTATTAAATGGAGTTGTTTGTGTATACATGTCGTTTGTATAATACGTCTGTGTTGTTTGACTGTTTTGGATTGTGTTGATGAGGTACAGTGCAAGTTGTAAAGGGGTTGCTCATATATTGCTGTTCTAACATGGGACTAGGATCCTCTAGAGTACCTTTTAGAAAAACACATTTTATGACTAAGATTTAATGCAGTTTGTTTATAAGTGCAATCCATCATGATGTTCTTATCTAAACGGAGCTTGGAAAGCATAACTAAATCTTTGCTGAAGTAATGAAGTGACTTGTCCGTAATCCAAACACTTTTAAACCTGCTTAGCGTTTGCTTGACTCTTAATAAAACTAACAAGCAAAAGACCCAAACGCACTTTATCACAACTGATTTTTCCATTTGTTTGAAACTAGCGTATTGATCATATATAGGAGATCAAAGCGTAAAGGAAAATGTTTCATGAACATCTAAATGGGGCACCTGAAGTTGTCTCTTTGTAGTGCGAGATTTATTTTAGGATGAGTGTATATGATATTACATACAACAATTTTTATAGTAGTTTAAATAACAAACTGGAAGAGAAATACCTCGTGTATATGCACCATGCTCTTCAAGTATAACTAAGCATGTACAAATGCTGACAAAGAATTCCCCAACGCATAGAGACATGTCATTGAAGAACGCGTAAGAATATTTCTAGTCTCACGCAAAAACTACGATAAGATACAAGTATACACACTCGAAGAAGCATATTCTCAGTTTATATTCTGTATTAAATGACTTGCTCAATATATCATTTTCATGCAGACAAGTCATTAAGCCAAACAGTACATATATTACAATCTGAATCCTATATTTTACAAAATCCTCCGCTAAATAACCCAAACCCAAATCTTTATTCAAGCTAAACCTTGTATTTAATAGAAATTTAAAACACAATAGTTTGACGAATTTCTATTTGCAACCACCGTAGCCAAATCCAATTTTTCCTCCAGCTACATCATACACTATCTCCAACGTTTTCTGCTGCGCGTTTCCAAAAAGCACATCGTCTCCACCTCCAGGAATCACTGTAAACGGCAAACAAACGACGGTGGAGTTGACTGGGAAAGCAATACCAACGTGTGGTATATCTAAAACAAGACCATCTTTAAACAAAAAACTCATTTTGGGAAATTTAAGTTTACGATGATCATCAACAAAGTAACACGTGTCCAAAATTTCATAATCCTTAGGAGGTTTAACCAATCGATAATGGGGCATCGCTTTTCGGTATGCATCTCGCAAAGTAATATAATCCTTGGAAGGTAACGCGGAAATGGAGGAACCAGAATCAATGCTTGCAGCACCCTTCTTAAAAGCAATGGGAAGTTTGGTGCCACCAAGAATTATTCCAACAAGGGGAATGGCATAACCTGATCCCAGTTGTGTGTACATTAAAGAGTTCGAAACTGTTTTAGACTTACCAAATTTGAGAAAACCGATGTCACTTGTTTTTGTTGGGAGACAGTATGAAAAAACTCGGTGATATGTTTGGGCCGTTTGTTCCACAAAGGAAAGAAAATCCTGGCCCAGCCCAAATATGCCATCAAGGTCGACGAGGCTGATATTAATGTTGGCTTCGGTGCACCCAAAGATGATGTGGTTGAAGGTGTCGTATCCTACACTTAGCCTTTCTTTTGCAAGAAATCCAACCACTTCTGAGCCTTCAACGTAACCTGTCTCGTACACGCACGTTGAGGAAGCGCAAGTTGTTAACCCTGCATTGTTCGGTACAAGAATTAAACAATAGAAAATATAAGAGAAGCAGAAGCTCTTCTCAAAATAGCACTTTTTCAATTGCATGAATATTGAGATAGAACATAAGACCACATGCTTAATTAGTAATATGAATTCCTTACATGTCAACTAACAAGTACACGTTGGTAGAGTTCCTTAAGTTTGTAAGGATTATGAAAATATACATTAGTTTTACTTTAATTTTTCATTTTAATCTTTTATATAAGAAGCAATAAAAATATCAAACTAGTGTTTTCATTATTTTATACAAATAATTAAATTTAAAAATAAAATAAAAATAGTATATTATCTTTTGTAATTATTTATAAAAAAAAGGTCTCATGAAACCAAACAGAACCTAAATAAAGAAGGAAATGTGGAATCTACCACAGTAGCAAACTTTGATCTAAAAAACAAGAGAGAGATAATTGGTCCACCACCACCACGCATGTTATCTGAATATAGCCAAATAGCAACGATAGATAATATGAACTATGTCTATCAATATTACACATATGAGTGGGAGAAAATAATGATGTGTGCATCATGAATGTATTGAAAATGAAAAAATAGTTTACCTAACGTAGTATTGGCCTGACTACAGGTGTGAGAGGGACACGCAATGTTGGTGTAAGTGGAAGATTTTGATGGATCAAAGTATGGATGACGTTGCTTGGCACAACCAGGTAGTGTTCCCAGCTTACACGGTTGACATTGAGTCCATATGAGGCTACTACCTGTATCCATGCTAGTGT